TTTGTTGGGTAGGGCAGCATCTGAAATGCGAACAATCTTGTGTTGAATGTCTCTTTTAGGTGGGAGACTGTGGGGCACATATTCGGGAAAGACATGTGCATATTGTTCATGAATGGATTGGGCTAATAGATGGATCTGTTTGGGAGGGGGTGAGGGTTCGGCTTCTTCGAGATCAAGTAGTATAAGGTCCTTAAATCCATCAAACTCTTGTTGTTCAGATTGGAGTATGGTGGAGATAAGAGCGGGAGGGTTTCCTTGGACATTTTAGGCCGTGGAGGGGGAGGAAGGAGGTAGGGGAGTGAGGGTGATCTTCTTCTTATTCATGAAGAATGAATAAGTGTTTAAATAGCCATCATGCTGCACTTTATGATCAAACAACCATGGTCGTCCTAAAAGGACATGACAAGCATCCATGGGAATGATATCACACCATATCTCATCTTTGTAAGTTTTGCCAATACTCAAGGTGATCAAACTTTGAGTATCAACGCGTAAACCTTTGCCTCGATTCAACCACTGAATCGTGTAAGGCTTAGGATGTGGTGATAAGCTAAGTTGCAATTTGTCCACCATTGTCTGTGAAGCAGCATTAGAACAACTCCCTTTATCAATGATAAGGGAGCACACGTTCTTTTGAATGGTACATCGAGTGTGAAAGATGTTCTCTCGTTGTAGTTGATCTTCGGGACAAGGAATTACACTTAAGGTTCTTCGGATGACCAAAAGTTCATCATCATCAGGGCCAACACATTCTTCTTCTTTAACCCAAGAGGGATCAACGTCTTCATCATCATATTCAACAAGGGCCATCACCTTCCTCGTTGGGCATTCATTGGCAAAATGACCAGTACCTTGACAACGATAACAAACGGGGGCTCTTTTGTTGTTTGTGGGGGGTAGAGGTGAGCAACGACCAAACCGATCCCGATATTTCCCGAAAAAACCGAGAATCTTGAACCAAAAAATACAGAACCGATAAAGTACCGAAAAGAAACCGTACCGTACCGAACCGAATGGTCGGTCCGATATTTGGGAACGGCACGAGGTTACTTCCCATACCGAAATTCCCGAACCAAACATATATACTAATATATTATAAAAATAATAATCTTTTTATATTTCTTCATTAAATAAAAAATTTATATAGACAATTTAGTTTAATTTCATTATGTTTAAGTTTCACTTTAATAAGAGTTTTTTATTGTTCATAAATGAGATTAAGAATATTAACAAATATTTGAAATAATACTTTGTTATCACTCGTTCTCTTTAGTTTGTGAAATATAAGCTAACTTTCATAAGCATTTCTTTTATTTTATTTTTTCATTTTTGAATATTTTATCTTTCTTTGGTTAAATGTACTTTCGATTTTTCAAAAATAAAAGGTTTTGTTGCATTTTATGATGTAAATTAGGTACGCATATATTCATCCCGATTCGTACCGAAACCGATACCGAACCATCCCGAACCATACCGAATTGATGCTTTGGGATCGGATCGGTACAATGTAAAATACCATACCGAACCGAAATATTTGGTACGGTATCGGTACGAGCTAAATACCGTACCACGCTCACCCCTTGTGGGGGGAGACTTTAGGTGGAAAAGGAGAGGAAGGTAGTTTATAGGAGGGTATGGTTTTGCTGTTTTGAGGAGAGCCGTGGTGCTTTTAGAAGGGGTGTAGGTGGGTTTTGAGTATGAAGGTGTAGTTCAAGAGAAAATAGATTTGGATTTCTTAAGTTGGGACTCAACTTTGAGGGCAAACTTGGTGAGTTCCTCAAGGGTGTTGAAACTTTGTAAATCAACCGTATTGGCTATTTGAGTGTTTAAACCAATAGGTATCTTACAAAGGTTTGCTCATCATTCTCTTGCAAGTCAGATCTAAGCAAAAGTTCTTCGAACTCCCTGTTGTAGTCTTCAACATATTTAGAACCTTGCTTAAGCATTTGAAGCCTAGCGAAATTCTCACACACATTCAATAGGTAAGAACTTCTTTTTCAAGTGAACTCTCATCTCTTGCCATGAATCCACCGGAACCTTCTCACTTCTAATTCTCTTGGTAGTGACATTAGTCCACCAAGTAGAAGCATACATCCTGAACTTCAATTTACCTTTTTTTCTTTGGACATGTCTTTGAAATCAAAAACACGTTAAACTGTCTCTAGCCATTCCAGGAGCTCATCCAGGTCATTCTTTCCTTCAAAGATGGGGATATCAACTTTGAAATCAGAGGTAGACCTTTCTTGAGTTTTGGCCCTTATAGTGCGCACTAGAGCTAGCTTTTTTCATCATCACTTGCTTGCAACATGGTTAGCTTTTGTTTTGTAAGCTTAGCTACTTCTTTCGCCAAGTACTCCACTTGGGCTTTCAAGGCTGCATTGGATGCAATAACCTCTTCTTGAGAAATATTTTGGGATGGGTTTGACATGGTTTAAAGTGAAAGTAGTAAGGGTGAGGTTAAGGAGTAGGCTGGCCGAATTTTACCAAGGGTTTGGGTTGAGAAAAGTTTGGCCAAAATGAGCCAAAGGAAAAAGAAAAGAAGAGGGAAGTGTATTTTGGTCCTTTAGAGATGTTAACAGCAGGCTCTGATACCGAATGTTATACCCAAGCTTATGGTAGCTATGGATATAAATAGGGAAGAATTGAGATAGGTTGTTATGGGATGGAAATGCTGATGTTTTGGTTAGGAATGGTGAAGAGAATAATGATGGTTATGTGGGTATGGTAATGGCCGAACTAAGTTAAGTGAAAGAGGGAAGAAATATATGGCTTTAGAAGAGAAATGGAGTAACTTTAAAGAAGAGGAGGGGCTGGACGAATGGAAGAAAAGAGGAGTTCTTTTGGTTTTTGTTTTGATGGGATAAAACCAAATAAGTGTTAAGAGATAAACACACTCTTATCTTTACTTGGGGCTGTTATCTTCATTTACACATTAATAATCACTAATAATGTATAAAATTAGACTCCTAACACACTGATAAGTAGCCAACTTTAGAGATATTTCGTTAGGAAATTTTGCTGAATTAGCTTCACACCAATTCAAATGACACTCAAAGAGTATGATTTTGATTAAAACATATGATATGATTACAAGGCCATGTTGGCCGAAATATAAAGGGGAAAATACAACTAGGAAGCATCTTTCATCTTTCCTACAAATCAAATGATCAGTATCCCTGTATTATAATCTAAAATGAGTTAAATTCAATGACAAGGATAAGAGACTATAATGGATATTCTTTGGTGTTATTTGGGGTGGATATTTCGGCCATGTGAGGTAAAAACAAGGTGGAAAACATTGTGTAGCTACACCTTGACTTTGATGAACAACAACAACAACAACAACCCAGTTGAATCCCTGGGGGGTGTGTGTACGCAGACCTTGCCCCTACTCGGAAGTAGGGGCAAATCAGCACTATTCAATCAAGGATTTTGTTTGTGTGATTTTTGGCCTATTCATGGGGCATGATATGGTCTTCATTTGATGTAGGAAATGTCTTATTTTTGGTTGAACAATGTGGTAGAATTTTGGCCATATTGAAGGAGGGTGAAGTGAAATCATTTGTGTCTCAAAATGACAAAACATTCACTATTCAATCAAAGACTCTTTTTCTGTTTTTATCTTTTTATGTTGAAGGAGGTTTGTCTTGATTCATGGTTGAAATAGGCCTGATTTTTGGAGAAATGAGAAAGGGATTTTCGTCCCTTATTGTAGGAAAGGAAGGGAAAGACATTATTTGGCTAACAAAGACTTTAAAAGATAAAAACAAGACACTAAGATTTTATTTGTCTTCTTTGGTCTCATTTTCGGCCATGGCTATTCAATGGAGAAGACTTTATTTTGAATAACATGATAAGATGACATACTTTTGAATGTTTGGGAATGGTTTGGACTTAGGGGAAATTCGGCCTAGGTGGGGTTTTAGGTTAAGAGGGTTATGGTTTGGACTTTTGGAAGAGGAAGGGAAATGAATTCAACCCAAAAAGGATGATAACACTTAGACATTAACCCATTGATTTGTTTTGTAGCTTGTGGTTTGAGCCCAAGCTTGTTTGTATTATTCCGGGGTATATCGTTAACCCTTGATCTCCAAAGTCTCATATCTAAACCTCAAACTAAAGGAATCATATTATGGTTCTTGATTTCATGTTGAAAGAGAACAAAAGAGTGTGTATATAGTCTTGTATTTACGAAAATATACAAGGTCTGGTCATATGGGGACTGTTGGGCAAAAGGTTTCCTTATCGTGACTGGGATGCATCAAGTGACCAAGGATCAGCACTGATCCCATTCTTATAAGTTATGTTTCTTTGCGTAAACTATCCGCTCTTATTTTAAATTGCTGTATATAAGCTAACTATGAATGTATAGTGTCCCATGATGAATGTTATTTGCAGTTGATATCATGTTAGTGGGCAAAAGCATGGAAGGATAACACACTAATTTGGAAATATGGAGACATGATATAAGATAAGTCAAACAGAGTATCTGGACTGCAAATGTAGTACAATTAAAGTTAAAAAACAAAGATATTCCCAAGCAATTGTGTTGGGATCAATACTTGGGTTGCTGCTCTTTGTTTCAGTAGATGAAAATGAAGCCTTTAATTTTTACTTTTTGTTTTTAAGTTTTAGCTTCCAGTAAATAGTGGACAAGTCAAAATGGCACATTAGACTACCGTTTCTTCTCAGTTTCTATGAAGTTTTGTCTAGGAAATGTTCAATGCATCATAGGGTTAACGGAGACATCATGTCTATTCTATTTTACAGGGTAAGGTCGCGTACATATGATGTCCTACACCCCAATAGAGTTGGGATTATTGTATTATACTGTTATTGTTGTTGATTTTATTGTTTGTTATATAAGTACAAGATTTTTTTCTTGTAGCAGCCCTGTTGTGTAACTAAATGATTTATCAAAACCGTTTGGAACCAATGTCAATCTATTGAGATGTTTTCATTTGTTAAGTATGTTAATATACTACATCTTGATGTGATAGGTGGATTGTATGCAATGAAGAATTTCAGCACTCCTGAAAGCAATTTCCATGCACCTTATGGTGAGGGACATGGAGGCCATCTGGTATGGAAATACAATTATTCACATAAAGCTAGATGATATTTTAATCTGGCATCATTTGATAAATTCAGAGTACTGATTTAGTGTTGGTGGGTTGTGCCGGATGTTGACATCCACCCATTTAATTCAGGGCGCTTCCAACAAGGGTCATATGTATGGTGCTGACTCTGCTTCATGGGGAGGAACAGAAAAACCTAGAACATCTCGTCGTTGAAATGTTCACATCCTTTAATTTGCTGTCATGTATACAGGAGCAAGAACTGTCTCATGTCTTCAATTTGTGTGCGTAGAGAAATTTTATGTTAACTTATGTAGGAGCATTAATAGGGTATAATTCTCTCATTTGCCTAAAACCATAGTTTTAGCAGCATACTCTTATTTTTAAACATTTCCATTCTCATCTTCATTTCAGTACATTTTATGGTTAAATTAACTCTATTATATTGTTGAGCTGTGTGTGATGGCCTAATGGGTAAAAGGCAATCCTGCTGCATCTATTGTTCTTTATTTTGCCTTTGAAAATCTTCCTGATTATTCCTAGCAGTTCGCAGCATTTGTTAAGGATCTGCCACAAAATTTTTGGGCATAGGAGGTCCTATCTATGATAGAACAGCCTGTTAAACATAAGCGTTATAGGACCATAGTTTGTAAGGTGGCAAGGCGAGGCGAAGCGCCAATGTACCTTCATATCGCCTAGGCGACTAGGCGCACGCCTAGGCGACGACTAGGCGACATACATACCTATATATACATACATATACATACATACACACACACACACACACACACACACACACACATATACATATATATATATATACACACACATACATATATATATATATATATATATATTTGTATATGTATATATAGGTCTTATACATTTTAAGGAAGCTTGACAGAGAAGACCGAGAGAGAGAAGATAAGTTTAAGTCTGTTAGGCTACACTAAAAGAAAAAGAGCTGCACTAAAAAATGGTTTTTTTTCAAAATTTTAAAGGGGCCCAAGGCATCAAGGCGAGGTAAGGCGAATTAAGGCGAGGAAAGGCGACGCCTAGGCGAGCGCCTGGTCGCCTTAAGGTTTTCTAGGCGAGGCGAGCAGACAAGGCGTCCCAGTGACAGCGCCTTATCGCCTAGGCGATGCCTTACAAACTATGTATAGGACATGAATTAAGTGCCTTTTATATGCAAATGGTTTAGGAAAATTTGCTATGTTCATTTGTTGAAACTGGGGACCATTTCGATTTTAGTGCTTGACCTGCTTTTGTATACATACATCTAGGTACATTTTTTGCTTGACTCACTGCTCTTAGGGCCAAATATTACTTTGAATGTTAACAGGGACCTTCTAAACTAAGAATTTTTTACTTATAAGTTCCCCCCCCCACAAACTTCGCCACTTCTTGCTAATATCTCATCATCAGATGAAGTCATCACTCATCAAAGTACCTATACCATATCAACAAACATTTCAAGAGAATCCTTTCGGACTAGCATTATGTTTATTGGAATCCTACAAATTGTAGACATTGAGAAGATCTTCTTTAGTTCAAAGATGAACTTTTATACTTGGGGTTCAAACTTAAGGGTACCCATTGGACTATGCTCTAGCTTATCTTATATGTCACAGATCTCTTCTGAATGTGGAATGAAGTGAATAATTTGTTAAGAGGGAGATTTGATTTGCATTTTCTACAAAATGCTTGGTCCCTTTTTGTGGGTAATTCTCCCTCTTTTAGTTTCATATGTGATGATTCCAAAGTTGTGATGATATGTCTGTAAAGCTGCATTAGTGTTATGGCAACAAACTTTTGAAAGAGCTGAAAGTTGATTGTGGTCTTTCCTCACTAAGTCCACGAGAAGTTAAGGGTCACAGCTTGGGATGTTCTTTCCATGCAATTTGTACATTCAGAAATGGATTTGCATTTTCCTTGTGCAACATGTATAATTGACGACTCAAAATGGGCATGTAAAAGCAGGAGATGACAAGATCAGACATCAAGGTTTTTTGTGCACTTACCTAACAAGCTTTTGGTTCCTTTTTGTTGGGTATCAAGATCCTCATATAGTTCATGTGCGATAATTCCAAAGGTGTTAGGATAGTCTGAAATGTGCCATAGTGATATGCCATTGAACTTTTGAAAGAAATAAAGGGTGACGCCTGACTGCTGATTATTCTCTCTGCTCACTAAGTGCACCTGAAGTTAAGGATTACAACTTGTTGCTTCTGCAATGTCATACACTCAGAATTGGATATGCGTTGGCCTTGTGCAAGATGAATATTTGATGACTGGGGATCAGAATTGAAATGTAAAAAGCAGGACTCGACAAGATGTGACAATAAGATTTTTACATTTGCTAAACAAGCTTTTGATTCCTTTTTTGTTGGGTATAAAGATCCTCATATAATTCATGTGGGGGGTCCTTTCATGTGCTGTGTTTCCAAATTTGTTGTAGCTTGTAAATATCCTTTAGTGTGTAGCCAAGGAACTTTTGAAAGAGCTGGATTGTGAATGGTGAATGGTGTCTCTCATCACTACATTTGCCTGAAGTTAAGGGTCACATCTTGAGATGTTCTTTCTATGTAATTCGTACATTCGGAGTTGGATTTGCATCTGCCTTTACTGTTTGGATGAGAAAGTTGTTTAGTTTACTAATTCACACATGGTTGTGTATCATCCTGTGAATCAAGGTATCTCTTTACAGTGTTCATTTGTAATGAGTTACTTCTTATGCATTCAAATGGCCCGGAACATTTGCAGGGATTACAATGCACGTAGTTATCCAATGGGCTGCTACCAACAAATGCCATAGGCAGGTATCCTGTATCTGTTATGCAGGCTTACTAGTTCTCTAATCTTTTATTAGATATTATACATGTTATTAATCTCTCTTTGCCTTTTCTGCATGAATGCTATCTTATGTATACTTTCTTTAAATAGTCTGTTTAGGAATGTGCTTACATGGGTTGTGATCTATTTTTTGCTTAAGTTTTGATTCCTTCTCAATCTTGTACCATCTTCTATTGATACTATTTTGTTGCCTTGACTTGTAATTACTGCGTAAGGGCCAGTACACGTTGAAGCTTGCTGAAAGTGAATGTTGCCAAAAACATTCAGATTGCTCTCGAAACCGATTTACATGAGAGAGAGAGAGGAAGAGGGAAAGAAAGAGCGAGGGAGGGAGGCGGAGGAAAAGATGAGTTTTGTGTACTTGGGGGGTGGAGGCATGAAATATTGAGATCTATTAAGGAACCCCAAAGCAAAGGCAGCTATTTGGGTCCTTAAATAGAGATGAGGTACGGAAGCATGGGATCACCCAAACACAACTACATATCCTGGTAGCCCATAGTGCAAACAATGAGTGCTTGTTCTTGGTCTGTATAGTATCAGGTCAGCTAACACATGAAGTGCTCTATCTTGGGAGTGCATTCACAAGACCTAAACTCAATATTCTTTGATCATCAAGAGATATGGTTGCAAAAAGAATTTTTCTGGTAGTGTGGGGTTGGTGAATGTGGTAGAGATAGGTGTTCCCTAATTATCTACCATGGGATGGATATCCTAGTTTAAGATTACATTGTTTACCGAGGCGAGGGTATCATATGTTAAAATTCCAATGGTTTGGAATTTGGAATATTTCTTCTTATAACTTGAAACAAACTTTGGTTGTAAAGCCTTTATATTCATACAATCCTACCTGAATAGGCTGAATTATACTTGATTCACCCATATCAAGTGAAGAAGGAAGTGCATCATGGTTATATAGACCACCTTAGAGATATAGATGAAGTTGTTGACCTAGACAGAGCAAAATTATGGAGAAAGATGTACCATCTCAAAGGCTTATGAAAGGCTTCGTTCCTATTATGGATATCCAACTGAGTTATGATTATTGCTTTGTGTTGTTGAGTATATCGTAACTCAGTAAGGAGTATGAATACATCATAGCTAACGAAGGCCTTTTTCTCATCAGGGTTGGGCTGCATGAAGGATTGATGCTGAGCTCATTTCTATTTGCAACCATTACGAATGAGTTAACTAGGAATATTCAAAACGGGATGCCATTGTGTCCTTATTCGTGGATGATATCATGTTTGTAGATAAAAGTAAGAAATGATTAAATGCCAAGTCTGAAATATGGTGACACATGATGGAATCACAGAATCATGAAGATTTAAGATATGATAAAGTAATGTGGACTATATGTAGTGCAAATTTAGTACTCCAGATAGAAAGAAAACTGATGTGAAATTGGATAGGAAAGTACTCCCTTTGCACCTAAAAAGGTTTCACAATTGAACCGACATCGTTATCAAGCAAGATGGAATATTTGGTATATGATCGACGCAGAGGCGGAATCTTAGTTTGGGACATGTGGAAAATAAAACATGGAACCTTTTTGAGGAACATAGGGAGTATTATAAAGTGATTGTTTCAAGTATGTAATATCTATTTGACATGAAATGGAGATATTGACAAAAATATGACATGTATGAATAGTGCATGTTGGTTGAAATGGAGAGAGTGTCCAGAATACCCAATGACATGGTCTAAGGAAGGTTTTTGTATAGATCTGACTGTTGGGCAATAACTAAAGGTTTAATAAAGAGGTGAGTAGTGAAGATACGATGAATGTCTGGTAAGATTAGAAAAGACAGTATGTGCAAAGAATGATGAGATCCACTGTAGAGTGGTGTAGCCACTGTTCAAGTTAAATCAATAGAAAACTGGTTGTGTTGGTTTATGCACAGTAATTATCAAGAAGTGCCTGGTGCAAAGAGCAGAGTCTCGCAGTGTTTGAGACTTAAAAAGAACCTAGGATCCACATAAAAGGAATTGATTTGAAGGGATAACAAGGCACAATAGAGCGTTGGGGCTTAATAAGCATATGGTGCATGACATAATACAATTGAAAAAGAGGATCTCAATGGATCACCTTGGAAGATTTTTCTATCAGTTCATGTAGCCGGTCCAATTGATTCAACTATTTAAGATTAAGGCTTGGTTATTACTCCATATTTGTTAATATGTTATTATTAATGAATGCATGTTCCTTTGAGAACGGTGTTGCTTATGGAGGACTGCAAGAGAAATCCTATTCTTCATTCATAAGTTATTTTGATCGCATAGTTAGCCATATAGAATTTTGCTTTGCGTTCAGTTTTCTGATAGCAGATCTTGGGAATAGGCTCATTGTTTGGCTGCTTGCTTTGGAGGAGGTATGGTATTTATTGGTGTGGATATGGGCATATGGCCATTTCTTTATGATGATGAATTGATGAAATTGATGAAATATCAATGCCCCTGGTGACTGCTTTCTTTAACAATAGGGACGTAGACCCGAGAAGCATATTAATATTTGTGTTCACTGACCTATGATATGAATTCGGTGTGCTGCTTGATCGCAAGGCATGCAAAGTTAGTTATTACCTTATCGGGTCTCTTGCGTGGAGGGAACTCAAGCTTCTACATTCTCTAAAGATCTGCTATACATGCTTGATTTCTTTAACTGAACGGCAGAGTACCTACATATACGTATGGCATTGGAAATAGTGATCCAATGTCCCCAACTCTGGCCTGACGAGCTTAACTTGATGGTACTAGTGATGTTTGTACATAGATTGGATTGATTTCAGTGATAGACAGTTTTTATAATGGCTGCATTGCAGAAGTGATTTTTTTTCTTGTTGTGCGCTGTAATCATTTTATTCCTTGTACAGTTGTACTGCTATATTAATCTTCAAAATAGTCTACATCTGTTAGTATTTCTTATGTGTTTCATTTTCTCTTTCTCAAATTAAGTATATCCCTCAATTTTCTTTTGCAGATCTAGGACAGTTATCTGGTTTTCCTACGGTGCCATTTGGTTTTTAGGTATTTGAAGACTCTTGAGGTGATTTGGATCTTATTTATAAGGCTTTTTGAGGTGGCTCTATTGGAGTCCCGGGGTGCCATGTGAATATTGTCTTTCGGAAGGAACTTATTGACAAATTGTGCAGACTATCGGGTTAATGATTGGATGTGAACTATTTGTGCATGCATTTTCCACTCCTTCGGTTCCAATATCAAAAAAACTGTCTGGCTCTATCAAGCTTAGCGAACGGAAGTTGAACAAAGCTGGTCGTACCATTACTTCAAAATGTTGCCTAATGAGGGAGTTGTTCCTATTGATTCCCAGGAATTTAACTAGTTATGAAGAGTTTGAAAAAGAGTTGCACAGTTTCAAAAGAGGATTCTCCCGTTCGCAGTAAAAAAGTCCTTGTTTTTGGCGTCCTCCATTAGTGTTGGCCAGATTCATCCATGTCCTGAACTGGTAAGCCTGTTAGCTTGTGCCTCAACTGTTTATGGTACATCTGCCATAGTGAAACCACCATATATCCAAATTCTTCCAAGCTCTAGTGTAATTTTATTTTGGTTAAAGGAATATTGATTTATGTAGTGTAGCTTATACTTTCATAAGAAAATAGGTACTCCGTACTAAATTTAATGGTTTTTATTGTACCCATCACGAGTACAAGAGGGCATCTTACATCTTACATCAGAGGATATATCACACAACATTTAGCAATTTGCCTTTACCAGGAAATTTTTGTTGCTCGTCGCATTCGACAAGCTAGAAGTTCAATCTTTAACAAAAATGGAACTAGTAGAGGATACAGTGGTAGCAATAGTAACTAAGACCAGTCAACGTGTGTCTATCTTGAATTTAAAATCAACAGAATTAAAAATATATTAGTCTCATTTCTTACAAATACCAAAGTATAGGCACATCAGGAGAACTCATTGTAATCATCTTAGTTTGATTTTGAAACTAGTTTTTTTTAACATATGTCAACACAGTTTATGCATATTTAGAAGTGGATTTTTTATTTTTAAATTTTGAGATCAATGCAATGGTCAAGAAATTTGAGGGAAATGAAATGGTTTTTAGTACTTCAATTGTGCTGAAGTGCTTTTAGAAAGTTGTGGCAAAACATCATATCGCTAAGAGTGGTGTTTTCGAAAAAAACATAAATGACTGCATAGTGATTATTTCAAGTTTATTGAACCGTAAGTACATATATTAACACGCAAATCAAGTCTAAAAATGCCCACAGCAGATACAATTAATCAAGACTACAAATAGAAATAGTTCCTCCTAGCTTTCCTACTGCAAATGAAAGTTTTATGTTGAGAATAGATCCAGTGACAGATCTCTTCAGTCCCCATCTTTTTCTGGTAAATCATCTGATTCTTAGCCTTGCACACACCATAGAACAGTGCTGGCCTTGTCCGTCTAGGAGAAATCTGCTGTAGTATGCGAAACAGATGGGTAAGAGAACAAGTAATTCTTTTACCCATCCTTTCAGACATCTCGTTCTGTAAATCTTTAGCAAAGCTGCAATTAAAGAACAAGTGTTGAATGTCTTCCACATCATGACTACAAGTGTTGATCAATGTCCAGGAATCTGCCAATACTATCTTTAGCAGATACCCTGTTTTTAATCATCAACCAAAAGTTAATCTGTTGTTAAGGAATCATCATATCATCCCAAACATTCTCAGCCGATCCAGCTTTGATCTTGTCACCTAGGAGCCAGGAATAACCATCCTTGACAGTATACACTGTCTCTGGGCATATTGACAAAACCCTCCCTGACTTTCATTATTTTCTTCTAGTAGTAGCAGTCATTTGCCTTAAGATAACTTACTATGGATCCATTTAACCCAAAGAATAACTTTTTGCTTTGCAACATCCCGAAGGAGCTTCATAGCATTGGCTTTATTCCACAAAACCAAGTTCTTAAACCCCAGGCCTCCATAGATTTTAGGTAAGCTAACCTCATCCCAAGTTACATAGTTAATCAAATTTAATCTTCCTGCATAAGACAAATGTTTGGTTGCCCAAGAGGAGAACCTTGCAGTCAATTTCTCCACTAATCTTTCACACTCCTTATCACTAATCCTGAAACTAGTGATAGGACTTCCCAAATACCTAAGAGCATCTCCAACCATGCCTACTGTATTGGCTTGCTAATTTTATATTTTAGCAAGTGAATAATGATATAGCAAGGAACTTTTTGTTTCATTTTCCAACCATAAGTTGCTAATCCATTTTACAACTCTTAGCTTGCTATATTTTGGAAAACTTGTTATATTTAGCAAGTCAACCTTGCTATAATATAACACAACCATTGGAGATGAAAAAAAATGATTGGCTTGCTATATCATATCTTTTAGCAAGCCAAATTGGAATGACTGGAGATGCTCTAAGGGGATGCTCACCCTTAGTCATATGTGTTTCCTCAGGAATTTATCATTGTTATTATCAACAACTCCTCTAAAAACAATTTGAGATTTATTATTATTAATGTGAAGGCCATTGAAATCTTTAAAATGAGACAGAGCTTTAAGTGCATTGTGTTACTGTCAGCGGATTGATCTTCAGCCTTACAGGCACTAATAATATCATCAGCAAATATTAAACTAATGATCTTCAACACTTTGCATAAAGGATGAAATTTAAACATATTCTCTTTGATAAATATTCAAGTTGCTTATAGTATAAATGTTGTAATTAGAAAATAGAATTGATTTTTTTTGCTATTTTAGGCACTTTAAATCAAATGCTACAGTGACACTGTAGCATTTGCCATTTTGGGAGGGGCAGCGTGGGGTGGTGGATGGGGGTAGAGGGGAGTTTTAGGGGGAGATAGGGGGTAGGAATCATCAATTTTTCGATTGGAGTACCGTAGCCCTTTTAGTCATAATATGACAACAAAACTTGTAAAAAAAAACCGTGGTATTCCTACAAATTTCAGTTTACCAAAATATGTATATGAATTATTGAGTATTGACATAACCCGATCTGCCTTGTTTCTACAGCCATCATTTGTCCTTAAAAATAATCATTTTTACATACGTTCCTTGGAACCTACTCAAGGGCGAATCAACCGTGCCCTACCTTTTTTTGTTGCCATGACCATAACTATCCATACCTTATCAGCTTCAGTAGTGAGTGTTGGAAGATTAAAGTTTGTGTTATGACTTATTACGTTCTTGGTGTATAAGGATGTCAATACAACAAATTCAATTTTTGATGGTCTTCATGGGTGAACATATAAGTCAAAAATTCATATTGCTGGACTTCTTTTTTTGAATACTAAATGCTACGGAGTAGAATACAAAATGTTGGTATATGTTTATTAACTTGAACCCTTTTTCAGTGCTTGTACATATGTTGTTCAATTTAACAACTTAGCATATATATACGTGTTCTAATAATTAAGCTTAATCATCCTCGTGTCCATAATACATATTGGTGCTTCATTCCCCAACAACAATGCTCTCATGTCCTTTAATTACTACCTCATCCGTAGTTGCCCACAACAATGATCTCACGTCCTTTAATTACAATCTCATCAAACTAAATCATTCTTATTTTTTTGCCTATCAATATAGTGTAGCACTAAGCTTGCTATAACTCACATAACTTCAAAATATCACATTGGCCCCTTATTGTCTTTATTTGTTTCTGAACCTCTATAGATAGAAGTAATTGATTCATAAAATTGGGATTTTCTCGTTTTTCTGATAGAACACTTATCAAACTAACAGGATGTTTCAATATTCTCTTAATATAGTTTTGATATGCAATATCATGTAAACTCAAATGTTCCTAACCATAATGGGAATAAGAAACCTTTACCAAATGACGATAGAACATATATTATTGTTACTGTGAAGTGGTGATATATTCATGTAATTATTACGTATATTTTAATACTCTAACAATGTTGAATGCTAATTTAAATTTAACAGATCTTAAATTTACCACGTATCATATTAGCCTTTGTGTTTCTGGAGTTTGTGTGAAGTCTTTCAATCTATATTTGAATTCGTGTTTTCGAATTGACATGGCGACAACAAGACTATCCATCCCCTTTTAAAAATTACCCGTACCAATGATTGTTAGAAGTTTTAAGTTGCGATAGTAAGATTGAATAATGCACTAGCACAAAATGTTAGTGTGATTAATAATGTTTGCATTGACATTTTGTGCTAGTTTATACTAGTACAAAATACTGTTGTACGTGGTGTGCAAGTAGCACACCCGTAAGACTATATTCATTGGAGATGGTATTTATTGATGGTTTGTACGATGAAAATTCATTTGTTGGGGTAGCCTTTTTTGGTGTTAATTTAGGGAATGAAGAAGAAGACGAGAAGACTTGAATGAAGAAAGGTGTTGCTGGAAAAGGAAAGGGCTGGGGCCTTTTAAAAGTGGTGTAATAACCCTTTTGAATGGATTTTAGATGTTGTTTTGGACGGGTGATTAAAAAATTAGAAGGGAATATGATTTTTTTTCAATTTTTGGTTTGATTTGATGTAAGAAACCCATACCTCCCCTTATAAAAAAAATTCAAAATAACATGTCATCTTCCATGCATTAGTTTTAACAACTCCACATGCTTGATATAGAAATTAGGGGGGG